GTGCTCGCCTGCTAACCGAAAGGCTGGGGGTTTCAGTCCACCCAGAGGTGCCTTGGAAGAAAAGCCTGGTGATCTACTTCTGAAAAATCAGCCACTGAAAGCCCTGTGGAGAACAGTTCTACTCTGACACACATGGTGTCACCACGAGTCAGAGTCGACGGCAGCTGATTTGGGTTTTTGGGTGCTAGCATGCTAGAGAGGCTCTCCTGCCGGCCTGGAAGCAGTGAGCTGCTGTAATGTGACCCGCCTACGAGAAGGGCCACGTGGCAGGGTACTGCGGGTGGCCTCTAGGAGCTGAGGAACTGAAGCCTGCTGTGTAAGCTTGCAAGAGGACCCCGGAACCCCTGTGACCCCAGAAGAGACTGCAGCCAGCTGACACTGTGACTGCAGCCTGGTGGGTACCTGGGCAGAAAAGCCAGCTGAGACACACCTGGGCTCCTGACCCACAGAAGCTGTGATACGCGCATATGGTTTTAGGCTGCTAATTTGTGGGGATTTTTTGTGTAGCATACAGAATGAATACAGATCCAGAGGGCAGCATGGAGGCCCAGGTGGGGAGGGGGTTACACCAAGGAAGTTCCCACACCGCATCAAGAAGCACTTCCTTCGTCTCTGAGCTGCCCTCCAATGCGGTGGAAGTGGAGGAGGCTGTGAGCCCCCTGCCTATCGCAGCTGAGTGGGGCAGCCACGGTCAGAGTGGCTGTGGGGGATGCCTGCGTCAGGAGGGAGGGAGCTGGGTTGACCTCTGAGCTTCCAAGATTCTACCCCTTTGAACTAGGTTGGCCCTGAAGTCAGAGGTCACCCTGCTGTGAGCTGAGAAATCTGGGCTCCCTGTTGACACTCACATGCCCCTCAAGGCAGGAGCTGCTCATCTGGAGAAGCCCCCACGGCCAGCAGGCAGGCAGGCAGGCAGGCAGGGGTTTGTGCAGCCTCATGACAGCAGTGCCAAGCACCCCCACCAGGCTGGGGGCCACAGCAAGGAGCCTCCGATCACATGCCCTCGCCTGCAGCTGCCTGCCCACAATCTCGACACCCGGCCCTCTCGCCTTACTGTAAATCCCGGAAGCCCACTGGGGCCAGGCAATCCTGTCGCTCCGGGTCTCCCTTGGTCACCTGGTTCTCCTTTCTCCCCAGTTGGGCCGTCTAGACCCTACAGATCGACAAAGACTTCTGTTAGTGAAGCACGAGGTGGTCATGCAAGTGTCCGTGACCAGCTATGGCATGCATGTGTGACTCCCTTCCTCCAGGGTGGGTGCTAGGAGGGCACTCATTTCACAGATGGGAACAACCGAAGCCCACAGAAGGCTCCTGAGTCAAGTCACTGGCCTAGGTGGACTGGGCTGAGGCCCCTTTGTCTGCATGCAGCTTCTTCTAGGCACAGGGCTTCTGCATGCTTTCCAAAGGGGGCCAGCTTTACATCCATGACTTCATTTCCTTCCCAACATCCCAGTGAGGCATCCAGGGAAGGCATTATTGCCCCATTTAGAGACTCGGAAACAGAGGCTCTGCAAGGCTCCGAGGCTTGCGCAAGGTCACAGATAGGTGATGACAGAATACGACCCAGGACTGAGTCAGGACACTGGCCTTCATACGGTAAGTGGCTTAGGGGTAGCCCTGGGTGAATCCTCCACTCTCAGTTCCTGCTCCAGATTTCCAGGCAGCAGCTGGCACCATGCAGAGCTGGCATGGGGGGATGGCGCATGCATGGAAATGTGGAGATAAGGGGTCTGGCCGCCAGCCCCACCCACTCACCGGGGAGCCTGCTTGTCCAGTCTCCCCTTTCTCCCCCTTTTCTCCTCGGCTCCCTGTGCGTCCATCTTCTCCCTTCATTCCTGAAGGCCCATCCCTTCCCGGGGGTCCTTGTGGGCCAGGGGGGCCCATGTCTCCTGGTTTGCCTCGAGGTCCCTTTGGAAAATAGCAGTTATATTAATTAATGCATTGATGGAAAAAAGAGGAGGCAGAGAACATGGAAGAATGGGGTGTCCCAAGGGCAGTCAGACTTGGCTCTTTCGGGCGTGGCTGTGCCCAGACAAAGACAGCCAGGGGTCCTTGGTCAACAGCCCTGCCCATCCCAGCAGGGGTCTGCCTGGCTTCCTGGGGAGCCTGCAGTATGGGGCGCAGCTGGGCCTTTGCAATGTGGGTCCCTCTCCCCTCTTTGCTTGTCCACACAGACTCCTGCCTGTGTTTGTTTCAAAACCTTCCTGCTCCTCCCCAACCTCCGCAGGCCTTGGATCATTTTCAGAGGTTTGCCAGGGGGTTTCTTACCTTTTCCCCATCGTGTCCTGGAGGGCCTGGCAGTCCAATCTCCCCCTATAGCCAGAACAATAAAGGTCAATGTCAGAGCCAGGAATAAAAATATTAATAACTGACGTTGACACGGCACTTCCTGCCAGCCGGGCATTCTTCTCAGCACTTGTTCATAGCATGGGCCCGTTTAATTCTCACTGCAGTCCTGGGAGGTGTGTGCTTTTACTGTCTCTGTCTTACAGAGGAGGACCCCAAAGCACAGCGGTAAATAACCTGTCCCAGTCCACAGTTAGTAAATAGTGAGGTCAGGATTCCAGTCCTTGTCCATTTTTAACTACAACCTCTCACTGCCTGGGCAGCTGCCACAGAGAGCCCTGGACACTCGCTCCATGCTCCATCGGGAAACTGGGAGTGTGCTTGCCTCCCTGTCTCCCCACAAACCCAGTCCTTGCTGTCCTGGCCACCCCTAAATCTTCATGTCAACCAAAGTGCCTTCTTTAGGCCAGGGGCAGAGATCAAGAAGGCATGGCCTCTGCCTTCAATGCTGGGAAAACAACCAGCCCTATCACAAGGCAAAATGATATAAGTGCTAATGAGAGGAACACAGAGGGAAGGGTGGTGAATTCTGCCTGATATATCAGGGAAGGCTTCAAGGAGGAGGTGGCCTTTGAGTTGGGCTTGAAAGACAAGAAAGGCTTTGAAAAGTAGGGAAGAGGGGAAGGGACTTGCAGGGGAGGGAGACCCATGAGCACAGGATAGACGGGCAAAAATGCACGACATTTTGAGAAAAAACACAGGGGTCTGGGGGTGGGGGATATAAAATGGATATAAAAGGGAGGCAAAAGTGGGGGAGGGGGGGACATGGGAGCGGCTCAACGCCACATTCCCTGGGGTCTGGTTGAGGCAGGGGCAAGTCTAGACTCAGGCTCCACCACATCAGAGGGGTCTGTGAATTACAGGAGCCCAAGAAAGACATGAGGGATGACAAGACTGAGGGCTGGGAGGAGGGACAGTGACTGATGTGGGAGGGCAGGGACACTGGTGCCTGGGAGCTTTGGGAAGAATTACAGACGAGAACTCCGTGGTGGGAAGAGTACAGGACAGGTCGGCCTGGTCACAGAGCTCAGGGGTGCTGGTGCCTCCTCAGGGTCTTCACACACCCCTCCCCCCAGGAAGACAAGTCTTACCTTCTGGCCTGGAATCCCTGGAGCTCCGGGTGGGCCGATTTGCCCAGGAAGCCCAGGGGGACCCTAGGAAAGAAAAGAAAGCCACATGGGAGAGCTTTCTGACCGAGCATGGGGTGGCCTGTCCCCAGAGGGATAAATGTGGAGACTGGCTCATAGAAAACAGAGGTTTTCAAACTTTTTTTTTTGGCAAAGAAAATAACATGGGGAATACTCAAATGTAAAACAGACAAGCATGGAGTTTGTTTGGGTTAAAGTGGGGTGCGAGGGTCCTAGAGCCCAATAGCCTCTCCCTCCCCTTCCCTCTAGGGCACCCCTGGGGGGTGTCCTTGGGCTCCAAGAACACAAATCTGTCCTTCTCTGACGACTTTAAAATGTCTTCAGAAAACAACTCATATGTCCATTAACAGGTGAATATATGACACATCCATACAACAGAACACTACTCAGCAATTTAAAAAGAATCAAGTACTGGGGTGTGCAGTGACATATGATGAGCATTTGATTCTGAGCTTGTCATCCCCAAGTGTGTTCTGTGGCACAGAGCCACTAAAAATACTAAGTGAAATGAAATTCCAGTAGTTTGGCAACCTTTCGCTCTCCCTCCCCTCTCCACCTTATAAATTAAACCCTGGTGGTTGGTGTCGTAATTACAAATATTTAGCGGGAGCCGACTGCTGGTAGGCACGTGTGCAAAACCTGAACCTAATGTCCACTGGTTGGTCAAGTGCAGATGATAAAATCGATTTCTAGGGAAAGGGGAAATGTGGAGGGTCACTACAGATGTTGAAGGGTTATGGATCTTATTAGCTGAAGGTTAAGAAAAAAGAAAAACATAAAACTTCCTCCTTGGTATCCCTATTTCCTTCACCCAGTTATAAATAAAACCAGTCAAGTCAACTCCGACTCATGGCGACCCCATGTGTGTTGGAGTAGAACTGTGCTCCATAGGGTTTTCAATGGCTCATTTTCCAGAAATATATAGCTGGGTCTTTCCTCCAAGGAGCCTCTGGGTGGACCTGAACCTCCAACCTTTCAGTTAGCAGTCTGCACTGCCCAGGCACACCTACAGTTGTAAATAGGACCCAGCATTTCTACTGTCATTTGAATGCACAGATGTATCGGTAAAGCCCCATAGCAGAAGGCAGCCATGGCCCACGGCCTGGGCAGCTCCAGTGACCCCCCCATAAGTTCTGACTTTCAGCCCTGACTCAGAAGCCCTCTGTCTGCTTGCTGAACGTGAGAACTCAAGTCCTTGCTTCTAGGCTCCCCACCCCGTAGCCCCAGCCCAGTACCTGAGGAAAGCGAGGAATGAGGAAGACTTACCATTAAGGCCAGTGTTCGGATCTCCTAAAAAACCAACACCATGTGTCAGCTGAAGAGCAAATCAAGAGCCATCTGGAAGGTCATCTCTGCCCAGTCAAGTGTACTTTGGGCCTGTGCCCTCCAAGGAGCACAGGTAAAAGGTGGGCAGTGCACCCTCCCAGGTGGGCCTCCACAGCTCCCAGCCCCACGTCACCCCCACCCACCTTTCACTTCCAGTGTAATCACTGGACAGAGAACACTCACCAGCTTACAAGCTAATCGCTGCTCTGCAGGCTGTTCTAGAACGGGCTCTGATATGTACTAAAATGGACTGCCAATATTTCCTTCACTTTATGGAAGGACAGAAGGAAGCCAGTTCTCCTTCCTAATTGCCTACTGGGGACCCTCCCTGGTTCTTTCCTTTTCTCCCAGAGCTTAGATTTCAAGGTTCTGATGTACCTCTGAACTTTGAATAAAGGCAGTATAACAAAATATGGATCACTCAAAAAATAAATTAGAGGGGAGCCCGTTGGCTTTAAAAATGAGTAACACACACAGAGATTTCTTTGAAGCAGCAATTCTCAACCTAGATGATTTTTTGCCCCCCAGAAAACATTTGGCAATGTTCGGAGACTTTTTTTTTTTTGGTGGAGAGGCAGTGCTACTAGCATCTAGCTGACAGTGACCAGGGATGCCGCTGAACATCCTACAATGCACAGGACTAAAAAGGATTATCCAGCCCCACATGTCAATAGTGCTGAGGGCGAGAAGCCCTGCTTTAAAGGACTGTTAGCTTATGAACTTAAAATATGATTACATGAACAAAAGGATGTATTTCAGGAAGACAGATTCCACCATGTGCATGTACTGAACAGGGCCCCAGAACCCTGGTGGGCCAGCACCCCTGCAGGGGGCCAGGGTGCTCCCACTGTGGATCCCAGGTCCAGAGCCAGGTAACTGGCCAGAGAGACAGGCCACCTGGATCCCAAAGGATGAGGGCATTTGCCTGAGGCTGCACAGTGGGAGACCAGAAGAGAGAAAGCAAGGGAGCATCTCTCTCCTGGGAGCTCTGCCAAGTGGCCTGGCCTCAGGGACATGAATCAGGCCTGTCTTCAAGAGCACCCTCATCGCGCCCTTGGTCCAGAGCCCTGAGGTCCAGGAGGACTTCCAGATCTCTAGTCTCTGGGCTAGACCCACTCACCTGGAGAGCTTCGTTGATGTTTCCATTGTAATCCACCATCTCGCCTTTCCCTGGTTCTCCCTTGGAGCCCTACATGACAAATGAGGTCTTAACATGGGCCCTGGGCCAAGAGGGGCCTGGGGGCAGCTGCTGCCTGTGCTCTATCAAAGGAAGACTCTTATCACCACTGGCTGCATCTGGCTGCACAGGTGGCTTCAGAGAGCCAGAGCAGAACCTATGAGGGGATCCTAAACACTCTCAGAGATGCCTCGGGATTCCAGAACAAATAGGGAAGACTCCTTTTGAGAAATCTGACTAGACAGACCTCAAGAAGACTGAGTCTAATCATGGCTGCAATGTCAGAACCCCTACCTGGGTCCAGAATGCTCTTCCTTTCCCTCCCCCTTGAGGCCCCAGGGCCAAGTCACTTCCCACTGTGACTCCTGGGAGGTGAGATGTCACACTGTGGCTCCAGGTGAGAGGCACATACCTTGGGGCCAGCTGGTCCCTGTTCTCCAGCTGCTCCAGGCTCCCCCTGTTGCACAACAAAATTGGAGTGAAATGGAGACAGAGCTGGGTCATGCACTGATGTCCCCAGATGGGCCATGGAGGGGCCTGGAGCTCATGTGCACTCAGGCTGAGAGGACACAGACTGTGCTGTCCATGAAAGGGCAGCATGGCTCGGCCCTTTCAGGAAGCACCCCCTGAACACCTGTCCACACTCCTCTCTCCCTCTGAGCTCCTCTGGGCAAGTTGGCTCCCTCCCACTTAGCACTGGAGGGCATCCTGTCTCGTGCTCTGCTACTGACTCTACTTGTGATTGTCTGGCCACCTTTCCCCAGTCCCCTAAGTCAGCAACATCCTTGGAAGCAGGAACCAATCCTTTGCTTCTCGTTTCTTTCCATCCTGCTCATGTGGCACAGACTCAGCAAATTTGTGCCAATTGCCTAGGTGATCCATAATTGCCACGGACACCTCATGCCGCTCTTTTGGGGTCTCCTCTGCTTGTGAAAGACTCAAACTGCAGGGTACTAGGGACACAGGGGCATATGACTGTGGGTGGGGTGGTGGGATGTGCTGCTATTAAAAGCATGACAGAACTATCCAGAAGGAATGAAACAGTAGTGCAAATTATGAAAAACAAACCACAGTTCCAACTGCTCTGGGATCATGCTAACGTAGAAGACAATTTTTTTTTTTTTTTAAAACAAGAAAGAAAATTAAAATAAGGGAAAAATGAGCTCTTTGGGACAACTCAACTCTCGATGACCCACTGCCACGTCCAGGTAAGCTGTCCCTGTGCCTCCCCCGACACAGCATTTTGCCATCTGGTACCTACAAGGGCTCTGCCTGGGCCCTTCACAGGGGAGGAGCTGGAGAATGGCGAGAGCCCAGCTTTGACACGTGGCTTGGGACGCTAACTGAAGCAGGGCTTTGTGTCACCCCCCATCTCAGATGTTCTATCCCTGGGCCAGCCTTTGCATGACTACTGTCCCAGGGGAAGGCTCTCCAAAGCCAAAGCCAGCCAGGAAAGATGGCGGCCAGGAGTGGAGGGGCTGGTGGGAGTCGCACACGTGTCTGGATCAGCTTTGTGCCTGACGTCCAGCCACAGGGGTGGCCTGGACTGTTTCTCTCTCTCATCAGGAACTTGAACCCCCAAGCTAACCCTCATCTGAAGCTCCTGGATCTGGGGGCCTGTATACCTTGTCACCTTGCCGTCCTGGGGGACCACCCTGCCCATCAACACCAGCTTCTCCCTGGGGAAGAGGAGAGGAACAGGGTTAGGGCATGCATTCAGGGCAGCCTGGGCAGCTGCTTAATGGGGCAAAACACAGTCTTGCTGCTAATATCCTGGGTACTCAGTGTCTTTGGGCCATTGTCTCTTTCCTTGCTGGCTTCTACTAACTCACACCATTCCACCTATTGGACTCCTATACCCTTGGCCCAAAAGATCATAGAAGGAGAGGTATCCAGGACACTGGGTCACTGAGAATGACCTGAGGTTGAAGGTCACAGGCAAATGTCACCCTTGAATGTTGATCCCTAGGGAAGACTCACCTTTGGCCCTGGGGGCCCAGGGATCCCTGGGGGGCCGGGCTCCCCTCGGCCTCCTCCAATGGCATTGCCAGCATCGCCTTTCTCTCCCTGGGGGTGGAAAGTGGAGTTACCATTGTTAGGTTAGCTTTGTTTTGGACGAGGTGGTTGATCCCTCGCCTTCCACTCATCTGTCTTTTCTCCCTCACAGTTAAAGGGCAGCATGTCACCCCTCAGCCTATGCTGAGCTCCGCAGGGACATTAAGTGGTCTGTGGGCTCAAGGATGGCTGGGGACCAGAGGCCTTCAGAGCCCTGGCTGGTCTGGCAGTGGGATTTGAGGAGGGAATAGAGCTCATTACAGAAGGGGAATAGGTTTAGAGCCAACAAAGCGACCCATCAGGGCCTGGGTCCAGAGCAGTGTTTCCCAAAGTGTGTTCCATGGAATACTCCTTTGGTAGGTTGGGAATATTCCATCTGTGTAAAAAGGGTTTGGTGGCCAAACAACGTTGGTAAGCACTGGGTTAAGCAAAGCTTTGCAGGCTCCTTCTGTGCAGGACTACTGCTCAGAGTCTTTACCAGCCTAAGGAGCACTGTGACTTTCTAAGAGGGGCCTATCTTAGCGACAGTGCCCCTCAGATATATACAGCAGATCCCCAGGTCTTTTCTCCCACAGAGCCACTGGTGGGTTTGAACCACACTGAGCATTTAACCACTGAGCACCAGGGCTCATTCTCTCTCTCTCTCTCTCTCCAAACACACACACTCACACACACACATGCACACACATATTAAGAGAGAGAGAGAGTCTGTCTCCCTGGGTGGTACAAATGGTAAATGTGCTTGGCTGCTAACTGAAAGGTTAGAGGTTCAGGTCCACCCAGAGGTAACTTGGAAGAAAGGCCTGGTAATCTACTTCCAAAAAATCAGCTATTTTTTGAAACCCCTGTGGAACACAGTTCTACTTTGACACACATGGGATAGCCATGAGTTGGAAGTGATTGGGTGGCAACTGGTCATATATGTATGCTTTTAATGAAATTGAAATGTATTATGGAGCTAGGATACCGTGGAACATGTTTTCAGAGCTGGAGCAAGGAAATCTGACCAGGTGATAGCTACTGCGTTATTTCAATTGGACAATCTGGGGCCAGTCAGGGTCTCCCCTGTGATACCCACCCCCCCACTGCAGACAGAACCTGGCTGTGTCCAGCAGCCTTTCTCCTGGTCTAGGGGAGCAACACAGCCAATGCTGGGGCCTGTGAGTGCGCAGGGTTGGAACGGGGTATGGGTGGGGATGGACACAGGCCTTACACAGAACCCACCATCCAGAGCGCGTCATTACCCACCTTCTGTCCCAGGAGGCCCGGTAGCCCAAGGGAGCCTGCAGCCCCCTTCTCACCCTGCGGGGCAAAAGCAGACGGTGCAAGTGTTAGGAACCGCTTCTCCAGGACGTGCGCGAAGGAAGGCACCAGCCCTGCCAGCTCTGGGCCATGGTTGGCCTCTGTCCTGCTTCCCTGCCCCCTCCCTTGGCCATTCTTGGAAGGGCTCTGTATCTTGCTGGACCCCTATCCTTCCCTGGGCCACCAGCTGGGCCACTTCTGAGCCCCCCAGCGTGGAGACAGCTGGCACCATCATCTTCCCATGTGTTCGGTCAGCCCTTATCACTCACACCAGGTGAGGAGCACACAGATCGTAACAGAGGCCAACAGCATTTAGTCTCCTCTGGGGGCCTCCTGGGGAGAGGTGAGCGGCTTAGAACGCCAGTAGATGGGGAAGCTCTTCCCTTGAGCCATTACACTCTTTTCTACTTTCTTACTGTCTAGCCACAGAGCCCCCCGCCCCATCTCTCCTGGCCACCTCCTCCCTGTCATGAGGAAAGAAAAAAGCCACCTAACAGAACTTGCCCTTTAGGGGAATACCTTGAGAAGTTTGCTTTCCTGACCAGCTTATTTTATCACCAAAGAACTCTAGTCTTCCTTCCCATGACATGAATCACAGAGTCCCTCAGAGATACTGAAGCCCCACTCTCACTGTACAGATGCAGCAACTGAGGTCCCAAGAGGTGAAGTGACTTATAGAAAATCCCTCGCTGAGTTAGTGGCAAAACCAGGTCTAGAACCCAGGTCTCTTGATGCTCATTCTTCTATGTCACAAAGACTTAATTTTCTATTCTCAGATTGTCCACTACTAGGTTAGCCTCCAAACACCCCACCAGGGGGCGTTAGTATCAGGTCATTCATTCTCCATGGCCCTGAGGAATGGTGGGCTCTCCTATAGAATAACAGGAACTGAGGGTACTGGGGTCATTATTTGGTCAGATGTTTCAATAGACTTCCTAGGTGGAGCCACAAAAGATGCCACACCTAAGCTGCGGGTGCCGCCTCCTTTCCACCTGCCCTTGGGTAGAAGCTGAATAGCAGAGTAGCCTGAGGCTGGCAAAGGGTTAGGGAGGAGGGCCAGGAGGCCGAGGAGATGGGAGGTGGAAGGGAAGGAGTCCTGAGGAGGCCGTGCAGGCCCTGCCTTCTGTGCGCTGCTCCTGGGGAAGTGTCTTCACCTGGGCATCCCTGGAAACAGGCCAGGTCTAAAGGGAAGGGTCCCACCCAACAGAGGTCCTGGGGAAGCAGAGCCCGAGGGCAGGAGGTCGTTCCTGCTCCTGAGCTTTCCTCCCAGGTAACCCATGGCTTTCAAGGAGGGAGGGTGTGCTCTAGAGTGAATTTCTGAATCTTTGCCAGGCCACCCTATTGACAGTCCCCACTTCCCAGGGCTACATGCACCCACAGCACACTGCAGGCAACACACCAGCCATGGGATTGGCAGGACAGGGAGTCAGGGACCAGCAGAGGCCAGAATGAGGGAGGTACACACCCAAGTACACAATATCCTACCCTCTGCCTCCTCTCTCCCAGCAAACCTGGGGGCCCCGGCTTCCCTGCTGCTCCTGGGTCTCCCTTTGAGGTAAGAAGAGAAAGTCACCAATAAGAGGATAGAGGTTGGTGTGGTGAGGGGTGGGATGGGCAGTGATAGTAGACCAGCCCTTCCAAAGTGGGTTCTGTAGAATACTTGTCCTATCATTAGATGCTCCTCTTAAAAAAAGGATGTCCTGTTCAAAAAGGTTTTGGAAATGCTACACAAGGCATTTCTTTTTTTAGAGCTTTCCAATGCACACTGGAGCCCTGGTGGCATAGTGGTTAAGAGCTTGGCTGCTAACCTAGAGGTCGGCAGTTTGAATCCACCAGCTGCTCCGCGGAAACCCTATGGGGCAGTTCTATTCTGTCCTATAGGAATCGACTCGATGGCAATGGGTTTGGTATTTGGTTTAATGCACATTATCATATTAAAGGCTCTGAGAAGGCGTGCTCTAAAGAAACCTGTGTAATATGTTTGACGCAGTATTTCTCAAGTTTATTTGACCATGGAAATTTTTTCTCATGCTACATCTCTTATTTTCTAGATGAGAGAGAAAGAGACCCCTGCAGGTGCAGAATACAATAGTAACTGCTTGTTGCAAACCAGCTGAGGTGGCGTGGGACTGAGATTTCCAGGCCAGGATCCAGGCAAGGGGGGTGGCATTCGCAGTGTGTTCCTGACAAGCAGACCTCTCCCTGGCGGACCCCTCTTTGCTCACTCACGTCTCCAGCCAGAGGCCAGCCTCAGGGGGACCAAGAGCAAAATAGTAGTAGCCTTTCCCACCTCCACCCACACTCTTTGCTCCATGCGGCCCAGAACAGTTCCCATGCAAGAGTACCTTGACTCCTGGGATCCCTGGCTCACCCTGTGTGTAGTAAAAAAAAAAAAAAAAAGAAAGAAAAAGAATCAGGTAAAGAAGAAAAAGAATAAGCAGAATGGGTATAGGAATATATGCATACGGGCAGGTACAGTATATACATATGTGAGAACAAACAGAAGTATTTATATATGTGTAAATACAGATGTGTGTGGGCAGGCACATATGTTCATTGAAGACATGGCTACAGATACTCTTCAGATATAACCAAACACCTTCTAAGATTGGTTTTCTAGTTTTGAAAACTCAGGACCATAGTCTCATGGGACAACTCAGTCAATCGGCATAATACAGTTCACAAAGTTCATGTTCTGTATTCTAGTGAAGTGAGTAGCGTCTGGGGTCCTAAAAGCTTGTGAGCAGCCATCTAAGATACAACTATTGGTGTCTACTACTCAGGAGCAAAAGGTTAGAAGGGAACCAAAATCTCAGAGAAGAAACAAGTCTACAAGGCTGATAGCCTACACGAGCCACAACCTCAACTACCCTGAGACCAGAAGAACTAGATGGTGCCCGGCTACCACAGCTGACTGATCCAACTGAGGTCACAACAGATGATCCTGAATAGAATGGGAGAAAGATGTAGAATAAAACTCAAATTCTTAGAAAAGGCCAGATTAACTGGACCACTTGAGACTACGGCCCTGAGACACTCTTTAAACCTTGAACCAAAACTATCCCAAGATCACCTTTTAGCAGAAAAACAGAGTGCCACACAAAACGAAGGATATTACCCATTAGACTGGTGCTCTACTAAAAAACATCTATATCCAAAAGGCCAACATTTAATCCAAAGCAAAGACGAGAACATAAGGAGGCAGGGAAACTAGAGTACTGGAAATGGAACAACCAGAACTCAATTAAAGAGAACGCTGGCACATTATGAAAACTTAACTGTCATTGATCAATTGGTGTGGCAACTGTCAAATGGGAACCTCACTTGCTGTGTAAACTTTCACCAAAAACATAATAAAATAATATTTTAAAAAAAGAATAAGTAGAAGAAAGAGAAGAAGACGAAGGGGAGGAAGAGGAGAAGACGAGGAGGAAGAAGAAGGGGGAGAGACAGAGGATGAGCGAAGGCAAAGGCATTCTGGGAAAGTGAAGCAACAGCCTCTGGCCAAAGAAGACCTCCTGGGCTGCTGACCCTCAGAGGGTTTCATATTTATCACGGGCATTTGCCTTCCAGATGGCCCCTAGTCTAACAGGAAGATTTACACCAGGCTGGTGGAACAGAATGCCAATATCGCTTATCTTTCTTTCCTAATAACAGACTCTCTTCCTGGACCATGAGACCAGGCTGATACAACTCCGCTTCTCTCCAAGCTCCTCGTACAGCACTTGGCAGACAGTCCAGGCGAATTTACTGAATGAATCAAAGTGAATGGCTGAGTGAGTGATGAATCCCCGGCTGCTGCCTTTGCTGGGCAGAGAGCCCGATTCTTCCCTTAGGGGAGGGGCGTGTGGGTGTGAGAGTGTGTGCAGCACCCCAGGAGGCGGGAGAGGATGGGTGGGCATTTGGCTTGGACACAGTGCCCTCCTGTAAGTGGACCTGTGTCCCCGCTCATCCACCAGGCAACCAAATGGGCAGTTAGGGAGGAGTTCGGGAAAAGCATGCCTGCTCTCCTCTTTGAAGCTTTGAAAGCATGTAGTCCTTGAGTTCTTGAGTGTGGAGGAAAGGCTGGTGAACTCTTCAGTTGAGGTTTGGTAAGCTTTGCAAGGCTTAAACATCTACTCGTGTTCAAGGCTGTGCATCCAGCATCAAAGTTGCTTTAAGAACAGTGTTTCTACAGCCTGTCTGTCCCCTCATTTGTTCAGTAGCCACCCTGCTGAGGCACTTGCAGGCCCAGCTCTGTCCTCTCTGCTCTCTCCCTCCCAGGCTGCCCCTGAGATGTTGAATTACAACAGTCAACTGACCTTCATCCCAGCCACAGCGATCCCAGGAGCCCCCTGGCAGAGAGAAAAAAAGGCATGAAGGTTTTCTGCAGTCAGAGAAAGCATGGAGGAAATGCCAGCCTGACTGTGGAAGACTCCCCACTTCTGCCTGCCCCCTAAACCCACACGGGGGAGTGGAGGGGCTGAGCTGCCCACAGTGCAGAGGGGGCTCTGACAGCGAGGCTTTGCAGCACATCACGCTGGCTTCTCTGGGCTTCCCGCCCACCTGCTTGGCTCCCAATTGGGGGCCAGGGTTGGAGGGTCCATGGGGGAGATCGAGGGAGGTGTCCTTGGGGTAGAATAGGGGGATTTCTTTGGAATGGGAAAGAATGAGGAGATGGGAAGGGGAGGGGGAGTAGAAGGGAGAGCTGTGCAGGAGGGTTGGATTAGCAGACAATACAAAATAAAGGGTCTGGTTTTTTACCAAATATGATAAACCCCCGAGTGTTCCAGTGGGACTAACCTCTCCACCACTGCCCTCGTGGACTGGGGAGTGGCTGGGGTGAACCCCATTTTCATATCAGCCCAAGACCTTCTACTGTGAGGTAGTCATGCTGCCCAAAGTCCCACTCAGCAAATCCCAAGTGGAAATGAACTTGGGGTGTCTCTACTCCCCACATTGGGGCCCTGGTGGCACAGGGGTTAAGTGTTGGGCTGCTAATCAAAAGGTTGGCAGTTGGAATCCACCAGCCGCTCCTTGGAAACCCTATGGGGAAGGTGTACTCTGTGCTATAGGATCGCTACGAGTTGGAATCGACTTGACAGCAACGGGTCGACTCCCCACACAGGTCTCAGTACTGAAGCCAGAGCTGAGGTCACCTGAGCAGGGGTTTCACGACCCAGAGAGGCCCAGGAGGAGAGCCGGCCACATCAGGAGGGCGTGATGGGTGATGGCTCAGGGGCCACGCTGCAGGGGAAGGCCCCCATGGAGGAGACATGCACCCTCTTCCCAGCAGGATGTGAGAAGCAAGAGGGCCATGAGCTGGGCCTCCAGGGGTGTCCTGAGCTTGGGAGAGAGTGATGGGTTGTGGGGAGGGGCTTCAAGGGGCTGCTCCACGATGGGAGGGCGGGTACCTTTGCTCCTTGTTTGCCCGGCATCCCTGGCATGCCCCGCTCTCCCTGGAGGAAGAAAAAAGAAAAACAATGAGAAGGGGAACAGATTCAGTGTCCCAAGGCCTGTGAGCCCTTGAAGTGTGACCTGCCAGGAGGTTAGCAAGAATAGCTTCTCTGGAAGCTCGGGAGGGCCGTCCACAGCTCAAGATGAGCTTTAGGGGACCTGCCTGCTCCCTGGAGGGTAGCGCCATCCCCTAGCAGCCATGGTGGGCAGCTTCCCTCAGCAAGGTGAACATGCAGAGGCCCAAGTCACAGGCTCACCAGGCAGGAAAAGCCTCAGCAAGCACCTGGTGTGGCCAGGGTCCAGCGAGGTGAGGGATGTCTGTCAATGGGCCACTTGGCCCAATACCTACTGAACACCCTTCTCCTGTCCCTGCCTACTACTTCCTGCCCCATTTTTCCTCAGTAGGTTTGCTGGGATGGTACCTGTTGGATGAGTCAGACAGGGGTTTCTTGCTGTCCTGTTCATCTAGGGCTCCTTTTCCTCCCAGGTGTCCCAGGAATAACTCTTCCCAAGGGCCGGAGGGGCAGCCTGTGCTCTGGGTGGGTAGAGGGCCCGAACCTGCCTGCTTCTCAGCATTGCATCCCTGACCTGCCTGTCCTGAGGCTCTGGGGGACTGTCTCCTCTTGGGATGGCACAGGGTCTGCTCAACCATCTTGCATTGTCTGATCTGCACTTTCAACCTCAATTCCCCCATGAAAATGTCAACTTATGGGAGGGGATGAGATCAGCCAGTGACAAATGGGGGACTGAGAGCAGGTGAGTGGAGATACAACCTGTCTGAGCAGAGGGAGAGCTCAGGGGAAGAGAGGAGGCAGCTCTGTCCCCACTGGTATAACCTACACAAAGCCTTCAGCCAGGGTGCTGCCCAGCCATAGGGGTGGCTGTCTGCCTACAGCCCTTGGACTCCTAAAGGCCAAAGCTGTGCAGTGGGCAATACGAGCCTGGAACAGACCTGGCTCCAGCCCGGCCCTTCCCTTGAGTTAGAGTGCTGTGGCTGAAGGCCCAGCTGCCATCCCCACAGGCTGAAAGGCAGAGGGAAACCTGGTCCCCTCCCCCAGCCTCCATCTCTTCAGCTGTCCACTCCCTCCCTCGTCTGCCATCTTACAGGAAGGCCCACGCTACCCTTCTCGCCAAGGCTAGAGCTGCTGTGGCTTCTCTCCATGACCTGCCCTCTACCCTGGCATCCGGGTTCTCTTCCCGAGACACAGGCTGGATAACGACACTCCCTTCCTCAAAAACATCCACTGCCCCAGAGAAAACGGGCCAGACTCTTGAGCTCGGCCCTCTGCCCCTGCTTCCTTCTCAGCCTCCTCACCTGACATCCTGGCATGAGTCTGTGTCCCTGAAAACATCATCCTTTTTCACAATCGCATGCATGCCCTTCTGCTATCCCCTCAACTCAAAGTCTTATTCCTTGTTTAGGGTCCTGGTCAAACACCACCTCCCTGTGAAGCCTTTGGCTATCCCTCTGTGATGGTTAATTTTGTGTGTCAACTTGGCGAGTATGATTCCCTGTGGTTTGGCTAAACCTTAGACTAGTTGTTGTTCCATAATGTAATGTAATCACTTTCCATAGTGTAATCTAATGGAATCAATCAATCAGTTGAAAGGAGAGCTTCCTTAGCATATGATCTGCCTGTAGGCTATATGTTGGCAGAACTCATTCTCTCTCTCCACTCTGCACTCTTTCCTTTGCCTGACCCATGGATCATAGGCTGCAAGCCTGCAGAAATCTCCAGCCTCTCACCTGACCTATGGATTTTGGACTTGCCAGTCCCACAGTTATGTGAGCTAATCCCCTGAAGTAAATTTCTCTCTCTCTCTCTATACATATATATATACACACACCAAAAAAACCTGTTGCCGTCGAGTTGATTCTGACTCATAGCAACCATATAGGATAGAGTAGAACTGCCCCATAGAGCTTCCAAGAAGTGACTGGTGGATTTGAACTGCTGACCTTTTGGTTAGTGGTCAAGCTCTTTAACCACTGCGCCACCAGGGCTCCTCCGTGTACCATAAATACATCTCACTGGTTCTGCTTCTCTAGAGAATCCTAAGACACCCCCATAATCTCGAGCTGGTTCCTCACCACAGGGGCCCCTCTTCTCTGCACTTGTAATCTGCACACACAAACTTATGTCTGCCTCTGTGATGGCTTCACCTCCATCTGCGTTGGGCCAGGTCTCTTAATTCTACAAAAGGCCCAGAATCTTTAGCTACAAATGCCAGAGGCCTCCCTCACCCTGACCCCAACAGTGACCCCTGAGCCCCAGGCTGGGTGGCAGAGCTAGATTCAGGGAGCACCCCATAGCAGACAAGCTGGAGCTCCAGGTGCCCCAGGCTTTGAGTTCTGGGAAAACCCTCGGGGAGAGAGCAGAGAAAGGCGGGGCCGTTTAGTGCACCCATCATGGCTCTGGCACTGGGCTAAGTGCATCACGTCCTTCCTTCATTTATTTAATCTCAAAGGATCCTTTCCACTGTGGGAGGAGATGCTGTTTCCTGTTTCACAGGTGAGCAAACTGTGGCTCATAGAGGTGGGGTATGATCGCCAAGGTCATGCAGCTTGTAAGAGGCAGAGCAGGGATTTGAACACAGACCCGTTGGCCGACGAAGTCCAAGTGCCCATTTCTCTTGGCCCACCCCAAGCATCAGATGGGCTGATGTTCCAGCCGCTTCCAGCAAACATCCTCTGTAGGGTGAAAGCAAGGCACAGTCCCTCTCTGTGCGAGGGCAGCTCCGCCCAGGGCTGGAGTCCTTAATGATAGGCACCCTGAGAAAGGGGGCTGGGCGCAGCACTGCCTCCAAGCACAGGTCTGCTCTGTGGCCAGCAGAGGGCGCCAAAGGACCCCACCTGAAGTCCGGCAACTGCAGCTGTGGTGTTTCAAAGGGTCTTCTGCCTCCCTCACAGTCTGGAGCTGTCTAAGACAATGAGCACCAAAGCGCCCTCCATGGAGTCAGTCAGGGGCCCCCCGTCATTCTTTCCTTTCGAGGACCAGGGTTCCCTGCTAGCATTCCAGCCTGACCTAACAAGGTCGACTCGGCCTGGGGTCCCCCGCACAGAGTCCCCTGGAGGGATACAAGTGGGCAGTCAGCTCGGGAGCCCCTGAGTTTTCAGAGGTCTCCTGGTTGTCCCTCTCTTCCTCTTTTCCTCAGCTTCCCCCAGTGCCCCTGGCTGCCCTTTCCACCTCCATTTTGGGGAGATGAACCAAGCCAGGCCTGCTGTCTGTGTGACCTCCGAGAAGCCACGTTCTCGTTCTGGGCACATGGTCCTCATCTGAAAATGAGCACATTAGACTAGGTCCCTCCAGCCCTCTCCAGCCCCTCTGTCTCTCCCCACCTATCCGCAGCCCTGCCCTGCTCCCTGGCACAGCCCTTGGGAGGGAGAGGGGCCAAAAGCTGGAGAGGTGGCACTCAGGTCTGCTGGCGGCTCCAGAAATGGGCTCAACGGGAAGGAAATTTTAGCTCTGGGTAAAAATGTGGCTGGGTGGGTGGGGTCTCAGTGGTGATCCCCTCTCCCCTCCTCCCACCCACCAAGGGACAGCTGCAAACACTTTGGCAGGGGAGGAGGGCAGAATCAGCTTTTGCGTGAGCTGCTCAGAACCCCGAGGGTATGGGTTTCCGGGTTTCCGGCTAATTGCGGTTGGGATGGTTGATTTATCCCACGCTGGTTTGAATAGAAAAGACACAACGGATGCACTCAGGGGAAATCCGGCCCCTTGGGGCCCCCTATCAGGGCGGCCCTCCTCGTTAGGACAGCTGACCTTTGCCCCTTCTCTCCCCTCTGGGTCAGGTCTCTTAACTCCGCCAATGACCCAGGTGCCCTTGATCCCCATCTCCAGGCCTCCCCTGCCGCCTGTCGCCCCATAGGTTCTCTCCACCTCATTAGCCTCTTTCTCTCAGGTCTTGTCTCTATGGGTTTGCCCTAGCCTGACCTTTGAACTGGGGAACTGGGCTCATCATCAGCGAGAAGACATCATCCCTGGACGGCGGGTGAGGTGAGAGGGGGCAGGGTCATTACCTAGGACTCCAGGGTCACTCTGGGCAAAGGTGTGTCTGCAGGCAGACAGGAAGTGGGCAGGCTGTGTGTACCTATTGTTAAGCAGACAGATGACACATTTCTGCTCAGACAGCTATTCCTACTGCCATGCCTTCGTGAGATCATACCTAGGGGCTCCTTCTTTTCCATTTCCCCTCTGGAAAGGTTTCCTGTTTAAAAGCTTTAAGTTGTTCGTAATTGCACTTTATTTAGCTCCACTAACTCATTAATGTCTCGGTCTCCAGTGGGCCAGGCCCTCACAGTCTGCAAACACCTGCAAGGCCCTAGTTATCAACTCTGCCTCTGCCTTCCCTGCTCCTCCCAGCGAGGACCCCCAGAGGCCCCACCCATGGGCTCTCAGCCATGCGATCTGGGCCATTCTGCAGCTGGGATAGTGGCTGCTCCGAGTGTTACAAAGGGTCTTGCCCCAGTTGTACAGAAGGTGAATGGCAGAGGCTGCTGGAACCAGGCCAGTGCCCCATCTATCCATCCGTCCACCACTCTGGGAGGCTGGCCTTTTAACCTTGGTGCCAAGGAGTGGACTGTGGCACACAAAGGTGGATTCTGGTGACTGTGGGCTAGGTAGGCTCGGGTGAGTACAGGTGGATAGGGAGGGGTTGACCTGAATGGCCTTGTAGGCTGCTGCTCAGACGCCCAGCTGTGCCCTGTACGGAGCACCTTACAGCATCAATTGGCTCTCCCTTCTGGCCTCAGTGTCCAGGTGGGAAGTCCCATCCTTTCCCGAGATGACAGGGTAAAAGTGAGCTCTGTGGAGCACAACCCTCCACAAGCCCAGCCTATGGGAGTGGTCTACGAATTGGTGACTGACTGACTGTTGTACAAGCCAGGCAGGGACTCTGCAAGAAGATAAAGTCTGGAAGGAGTTGGAGGTGGTGGTGGGAGAGGGCTTCAAGGTCAGCTCCCCATCCAAGCACAGGTCAGGCTGGGGAAGTGGGTGGAGAT